TCCCCCCCCCCCCCCCCTGCCCAAAAAGAAAGAAACCAAGAAAGGAAAAAAAAAAGATATTCATCGAAGACAGGAGGGGGTGGCAGGGGGTGGGGAAGGTGTTAACTGGCTTCCGACAAGGATCCCGGGTAAAAGGCAGAATCAGGACATCGTGATGGTGGGTCGGGCAGAGAAAAGGGGACGTGGTTGAAACGACGTGGCGAGAAAAAGGGAAAGGGGGGGGGGGCGGCGGGGTGGTGAAAAACGGTGAAAGACGAAAGTGGAACGGCCGAGAAACGGGGAAGAAAGCGAGGGAAGGGAAACACGCGGAAACGAAAGGGGTAACTAGCATGAGAAAGGGGCAAACCGAGATCAAAAGTGGGCTTTTATCGTGGGCTAGATTGAAGGAGAAAAGTGGCCGATTGCGCGTCGGATTGAAAGACAAAAAGAAAAGCCGGCGAATGAAAGATAAAATAGCCAACGGAGGGCAAAAGGGTGGCACGGTGAAAAGGGCCGAAAGGGAAATCGAATGCGCCCCGAGCGTCAAAGGCCAGGGGTGTATACGGGACTCGAGCGAACGCACTGAATGCGCAGGGCATCGGCAGGGGTCGAGAGGGGGGCAGAAGGGGGAAAATTAAGAATGCGTTCGAGGTAAAGGAAGCAGGTAATTTGAGGAATTTTCGCGGACCAGAGAGACGTGGGTTGGGTGAAAATAGGTCGCAAAGGGGAATTAAGGGGGTATTCTTGTAATCCGGCTTTAAAAAATCGATTTTTTTTTTTCACATTTTCTCGAAGTGTATGCTTTCGAAATTGCCCGTATAAAAGGATTTGTTCGAATTCGCAAAATTAACGAAGTTATAGATGTTTGAAGTACGGCGTGCAGCCATTGTACAACGGGTAACAGAAACTTCAAACGCGTTTTTCTCGAAACCATATTTCTTTGACTGTCTGATGGCATATCTCGCGTTTTAGTTGACCGATTGACTCGAAATTTGGAAGAGATCTTCACCAGATATACCTTTATCTCGTGAACTAAGAATTTCAAAATCTGATGTTCCTTTCTATTTTTGTTTACCACCCAAAGGACGAAAAGCACGAGGAATATCGATATTTCAATTTCGAAGTACCGCTATTTTTATAATTTTCGAAATTTTGTTGTTTTGGTGGTTCATGCTATAGGCATGTTTATACTAATTAATATGCTGTTTAGTTTTTTCGTTTCAGATAACCAGATGATCCGAAATCGTGTCAGTCACTCGAACCCGTTTTTAAAAACATACTTTACGTAAGGCTATACAATTTCCACAATTTTCGCTAATTTCATTTAAAAAAATATTGGAAATGTTCTTTAAATATAAGTAAATCTGAGTGTGAAAACTGTGTACCAAAATGTATTATGGTTTCCTTAGAAAAAAATCCCAAAGAAACCGATTTTTATTCACCAGATTACATGAATACCCCCCCTTAAGACTAGAATCATCGACTTCTAATGAGTGTCTATTTATATAATACACGCAGAAAATAGTAATCAAAGGGACACCATTAAAATTGAAAAGTATGCAAGATTCACTTTGCCAAAAAAATCTACGTATCTTTAAAAATTACAAAAATAAAAAATTTTGAACGATTGATTTTGATTTGTAGTATTAAGCTAGTACATATAATCTAGTTATATATAATCTAGTTATAAACTAGATGAGATAATTTTTGTGACTTTTCAATTTTATTTCATTTATGTTCTTGTATGAGCTGAAGGTATGTACGTATAGTACAAACATACTATAGTAGTATGTACAGTATGTGGATGAATATTTTTTAACTTGTTTTCGTATGACAGAAAAGGATATTGCACATTCTATTTAAAAATATTGAAGGTCAACTTTATGCGGGGGAAAATATCGTAAATATAAAAAATCGATGTCCGTTGGGATGTTCCTCCTGGAAGAGTATAACATATTTCCTGTTTTCAGTTTTTTTAAATATTCGTTATTTAGGAGAAATTATTGGCTAGTAACAGTGTAACCTATTGGGAGTTATTTTTATTAGGTTAGGATTGTAGATAACTAGGTTTGGGTTGGCAACAGTGCAGAGTAATTAGGACGAGTTAAAAGATCGAAAGACGTAATGCTGACATCGACATAACCTCAACGTTTACATTTAGTGAACTCACAGTCGCGGGTACTAGTGTCGCCCTCTACCTCGTTTAATCCTTCACTTCAATAGAGTTTACAAATATTAGTATTTATATATTCAAATGGAATATACATTGCATAAATGTATGTAGAAAATGAAATTTCAGAGTAACAACCATAGATCCAATCCATACAATTACAAAAACCTCTGCAAATTCTGGTCCCCCATCATTAAAATTATTTGCTGTATCAGAAGAACCTTGTAATATCCTAGAATAATAACCAAAAAGTAATGAACGCAATTATAAAGTATAAGACATTTGGAACATTAGAAAATAATTGAACATACATTGCCATGAATGTACATAATACTAGTGGTCCCCAAAGATCCCCTGCAATGAAAAATATTTGTTGACAAAAATCAATTAATAATTTACATAAAATTATTTCACAAATTATAATTTATAATAATTTGTAAGATATTTTTAGTAACTCACATTCCTTTAATAAGCTTTCTTTCTCCTTGGGATACAGAACATGATAGAACTTTTTGCCCACTGCTCGAACATCCCTGAGTGATAATATAAATAGTAATAAATAATAAAAACATAAATTCACAAAAATATAATAAAATTATATTCTATATAAATATAGAATTTTATGGCATACATTTTACATATTTGTATGTAATTTTATAATTTATAATTTACAAATTTCTGAATTAATTTTTGACGTATACTAATTATACAATTATTATTATATAAATTACGTGAATGTTATAATTATTACGTAATTATATAAAACGTAAGAATATTATAATTATTATGTAATTATATATATATATCATAAGATAATATAGAAACGAAATAAGATGAGGAATAAACGCGGAAAAATCAATCAGTATGATAATAAATTGACTAAAACAACGTAGTCACCTGGATAGTCACCACGTAGACACCGGACAACGTTACAAAGGGTCTGATTAATTCATCGACTCGGTGGTTGTTACCAACGTCTGATAACGAATCCAGTTAGGGATCCTTTGTCTCGCAGGAGGCTTTACGAGCGTCTCAGACAGCGAGATTAAGCGATAAATTAACATGAATCGCGTCAAAAACGCGATCGTCTACCATAGGTTCAATTAACCAACGAGACATCCCTCCAACTAACTTAATTTTATTTCGGGAGAAGGCCATTTTACACCCCACTTCTCCTACTTTTACATCCCAGATTCTAAGTTCGCATTCACTGTTCAAATCAGTGGTGGATAGGAATATGTCACGAGTACTCTGTAAAAGCACCATTTTGAAAATATCGTCGACTTTATGGCAGAAAGACTATGAATTACTATTTTTCTGTAACGAAAAAGTCGCCGAGTGCAACGGGTTAACATCTGACAACTTTTCTGGGAGTACTATACTCCGTGCAACGAGAATTGGCAAGAAATATAAACAGAAAGGTCACGTGATCGGCGCGGTGGCTAATGGAACTTCCTACTCAGGGGCGTCTTGTAGCGGCCCCTGAGAAGGGCTCTCACATGACGCACACTGTATAGAATAACTCGTTCAAGTTGTTGAACAAAATTTTTCGCAATTGGATTACAATACTGACTCATTAAAATTTAATTTTTAAATTTAATTTTAAATTAATCTAAAAATTTTACTTTTTTTTTCGATTAGTTAACCCCCATCCCAGTTGTATTACTATCTCTGGGGAACCCTGTATAATAGATAGATAAATTAAATGTAGAAATATAGTTCTTCATACTTTAACTTGTACTTTCACTTACCTCCTTACTTACATTGCTATATAATAATATTAAAAATATTTAATTAATCGTATCACATTAATATCGAGGATGAATAATTTTGGTTTGGAAAATTAGCTTTCTCCCCAATCTGTAGGGATCTGGATATTACGTTTCGGTCCTGTTCTGATCACGTGCAGGTCACGTGTAGCTGTTTATATTTCCCGCCAATTCTCGTTGAACGGAATATAGAATCTCATACGTTGCCCTTAAAGATTAGTATGTATATAGTCTACATGCATTAGTAGTTTTGTAAATATTGGTAATTAAGTAGTCTACAAATAGCCTATATAAATGAACACCCCACAAGAACTCTATACGCATTAGTATCTGATAAGTATCTTATCGAATACTAACATATGATAAGTGCTTTACAAATATTAAAACCTCATAAGTTTTATACGTATTAGCACCTCACAAGTATTCTCTAAGTCTCATTTCATAAGCAGTATTTATAACTAGTTTTTAAGTATTAGTATCTCATACATAACCTACAAATATACCATAAGTACTCTATAAGCTCTGACATCTAACAAGTAGTCTAGAAGTGTTAATATTTTATAAATAACCTGCAAGAATTACTAACCTGATAATAATGTGTAAGCACTGGTATCTCACGTATTTTACAAGTATTAGCACCGAAAAGGTAATGTACATATAAGTATTACAATAGTATCTGACAATTAGTCTACAAGCTGATAAACAAACAATCTTCAAGTATCAGTATCTTACAAGTCACCTATAAGTATTAGCACCTCACAAATACTCTGTAAGCATTAGTATCTGACAAATAGGCGACAAGTATTATTATCTAGCAAGCAGTCTACTAGTATAAGTATCGGCATTTAACAAATAGTTATGAACATCGAATTTCACAAAGTATTGCTATCTGAGGACTATTTTATAAGTATCAGCATCCTACATCTAGGTTATGTCACTATCTTACAAATGTTCTAAAAACAAGCATTAGTCAAATATTCCATGAAATGTTATCTATAAGTACTGTGCGTTCAGCAGAAGGAAGCACAGCGTGTTTATAACCTCACATTTGACTAACACTTTGTAAGCCCAGTGACCGCTGTTGGCCGAAAATAGCGAAAATAACGAAGATCATTGGTCGCCGTTTTCATTTTCACCGTTTTTGGCAAATAAGCAGTCAGTAGCTGTGATCATGGAAGTGTCAACGGAGTTAATCAGCCGTGAACACGTAAACATGCCTTCTTTCCTCGAACGCACAGTACTAGCAACTCACAAGTAGTCGCCAATTACACTGTCCAGCAAATTTTAACTTTCTTCGATAAAAAAGATTTTTCGATAAAATGAAGTATTACGTAAAAAGTAAGAATGTTAGGAAGTTCATTGTTAAATATTAAAGCATAAAAATAATATAAATGCATATAATATATATTTTCTAATAAAACGCAAATAATATAAAAGCACGGAAATTTATGTTCTAAAAGCATAAACAAAGTTTATAAAATATTGTATTAATCGTTTGCAACAAATTAATATTGTTAATAACAAATTGTCCACGATGTAAATTTATAATAAAAGTGAAAAAATTAATAAATTATTGGCTATTACTTAAACTTAGAACGTATTTATGTTAAAATATATTTAGAATTTGCAAAAAGTTTATAAATTATTACATCTATTGTTAATAACAATTTAATATTGTTATTAACAAATTGTTCGCAACGTATATTTATAGTAGAAGTGAAAAAATTAATAAATTATTGCCTATGAGAGCGGAAAATGAATAATTAATGAAATCGGAGAAGTTCGAAAATTTTCGATTGGAGTGGGGGGCTCGGCCGATCGAAGGCTATATAAAGGGCGACGCGACGGAGCACAACTCATTTGTCAGTTCAACCTCGCGAGTGTAATATCTAAATTTTTCCGTGTGCGCGAGGGGTGGGGATCCGAAGTGAGGTTGGGGCTAGCCACCCTATTCTCACCCCACCCCATTTACTAATTGTTTTTTTATTTTCAGGTATTAATAATTTATTTTTGTTTTCAGTTGCTAATTATTTTATTTTTTTTTCAGATTTTAATAATTTTTTATTTTTTCAGATTTTTTTTGATTTCTATTTATTCTTATTTAACATTCGAATATTTCGTATAATATTCGAATGTCTCATCGTTGGGTTGTTCATATCTCATCGTAGGGTTATTTATGTCTCATCGCTGGGTTGTTTATGTTCCATAAGAGGTTGGGGTGGTCCACTTCATCCACACCCCACTTCTTAAATAATTTAATATTTCTTTTTCAGGTTTTAATTATTTTTCTCTTTCCAGATTTTCTTTTTCGGTTTCCATTTATTTCTATTTAAACATTCGAATATTTCGTATAATATTCGAATGTATCGTCGTTGTTTGTTTATGTCTCATCGTTGGGATGTATATATCTCATCGTGGGGTTGTTCATTCCATTTGATTCATCTTTGTGAATTATATATGTTTCGCATTTATTATGTTTTACTAATGTGTTACTAATCCGTTTGTTTGCAGCTTTCAGGTTATTCAAGACATCGTTGGACGACGCGGAATGCGTGCGTTTAGACCTAAGTAGTTGTAAGCAGTTATAAGATAGATCTCTAGACTAAGTATCATGTGCGCGCTATCGATACAAAGGTAAGCTACCTAACTTGGAGCGATATATACAAATTCCCCTCTCGTTTACCAAATAGAACATAATTGTTCTCGCGATAATCGTGATTTTTCCTAAGTACCGACTAGCCTACGCGACGTGCTCTCGTGTACTCGATAAGTACATGTTTCATAAGTCATCCTCACGACTCGTCTCCGACACTCATTTCCAGTCACTGTCAATCTCGTCATGCATCGGGTTCCAGGGAGACCCCCTCGGATCAGTGCGTCTTCTGACCTCGACGGGGCGGTCCGCTGCCTAAGTCGTACGCGACTTGGGCTCGGGCACATGCTGGCTGACGGACTAGTACCATCTACGGTTAGACCACAGGGATGATTAAGTTCTACCCCGTGTGGCTGGGATGCGAAGTGTCTGTCTTGGCCGGCAACCGCCCAGCAGGGCCCTCGCGTTGACACTAGAAGTTTCATTGGTTCAGGGACTATCC